GATCTGCCGAGAGATCGAGATTCTCCGCGACGTGGACCATCCGAACGTGGTGAAATGCCATGACATGTTTGATCACAACGGCGAAATACAAGTTTTGCTGGAGTTCATGGACCGTGGATCCCTGGAGGGTCAGCAAATCTACCACGAGCCTTCTTTGGCGGATCTGGCCCGCCAGATTCTCAGCGGTCTCAACTACCTCCACCGCCGACACATCGTACACCGGGACATCAAGCCCTCCAATCTCCTAATCAATACCAGGAATAAGGTCAAGATCGCGGACTTCGGGGTTGGTAGGATTCTTTCGCAAACAATGGACAATTGCAATTCATCGGTGGGGACAATAGCGTACATGAGCCCTGAGAGAATCAACACGGATTTGAACCACGGGCAGTATGATGGATACGCTGGAGATATATGGAGCTTGGGAGTGAGCATATTGGAGTTCTACTTGGGAAGATTCCCGTTTGCAGTGGGTCGGCAGGGGGATTGGGCAAGCCTCATGTGTGCCATATGTCTGTCTCAGCCTCCGGAGGCACCCGGCTCGGCCTCCGCTGAGTTTAGAAATTTCATCTCCTGTTGCTTACAGAGGGAACCGGCCAAAAGGTGGACGGCAACACAATTGTTACAGCATCCTTTCATTGTGAGGGGACAGCTGACCCAGAATCAGGTCACGCAAAATCTTCATCAATTACTACCTCCTCCTCGCCCTCTCCATTCTTAGTTGCTTTTTCTTTTGAAAAAATTTCTGTAATTCTTGCTGATATAATTGGCTGGATTTTTTTTTTTTGGTTTAAGGGAGAATCAGGGTTATGCATCTGTTTTCCTTTCAAGAGCTGTTATGTTTCAATCAACCCACCTCTATTCTCCTTTCATTTGACAATGATAAATCTTTACATTATTAGCAATGAAAAAGAAAAAAAAGAAAAAAAGAATTGGCTGTCATGGGTGCTGTGCTCTGAGAAATTGGAAACCGGCAAATTAACCCTTTTGGTTAAAATTTCGAGTCACAAGAAGTCTGTATTCTAGATTTTTGTCGTGATTATAATAAGAATGTATTGATATTCCTTTCTGTCTATTATAGTTCGAATTATCTGGATACTAAAGGAGCAAATTATAGCTTCAAATGGTTAAAGGCCCACTACAACTCAAGACTTTAACAAAGTCTTAGATGGGCAAGAATTTAGGATATATATATATATATATATATGTACGATGATGATTTGTGAATGAATTGAGGAGGGTTTAACTTTTAAAGCCTCCCTCAATCCGGAAAGTAGTGGCAATAACTTTTATGCCATTGGTTTGGTTGCTTCTTTTGCTAATTTTGTTTTCTAGAGATCTCAGCCTCAAAGATTTGTATGGAAATAATGTGAGTAATTTGTGATGCTATTTTTTTTGTTTAGATTTTGTTCATTATTAGTTGCTTTTGATTAGCGGATGAAGTGCAAGGAAACATGATTCTGAATGCTAGTCTGGTCACTTGATTTGTCAACATGTTTTGCTGTAAATTTACTTTTTCTAGAAATATGGTTTGAATGCAGTGGTTTAGACATCTCGATTTTGCTGTCAATTATTTACTTTGCAACAAATTATGCTGGCATGAATGTGATGTGGTTTCTGCAATTACTAGAAAAACATTGGAAACCATGGGTATCCTTGTGACACGGCAGAATCTCCAGTACTTGGAAAGAGTTTGTTAGTTCCAAAAATTAGCACACAGCCAGTTTCATCATGCGAGCCAATTCTGTCCATTGCAGAAAATGGCTAGTGTCTCTTTGTGTGATTACATTACATGCTGTGTTTTGTAGTTGTATTAATTGAACCGTTTGCCCTTGTTTTTAGTTAAAATGTGGGCTGGCGTTACGGGTTTTTCCTGTATTTGTCTGTCTTGGATTATTGGATTACTGTGCCATAATGAGCTGGTACAAAGTGTTCCCATGAGTTTGGGTTTTTCTTGATCTTTAGCAGCAGCCAATGTCCATTTTCATCCTCCCTTCCCCGGTCTAAGCAACTGGTCCCAATTGCAACATGTTAAAGCCTTATTAAAAAAATTAAAAATATAATGATTAATAATATTAATAATAATAACCATAAAGCAGTTTTAAATGTGAAATTGCGGTTGGCCAATGACGTTGGTTTGCCAAATAAATTCAACAATATATTTCACTTATTACCAGAATATGGCGATATATGGCTTGTTAATTGAAATCAGGGAAATTACCGCCAATGAACCTGTCAGTAAGGTAATTATCTGTAAGATTTTACTCAGGTAGTGATGTGGGTCCAAGTTGGAACCATCTTCTTCTCCTTTGAGGCTAACTATAGCAGCTAGCATTATAGCGCACAACATCATCATTATACAATATATGGATAACATGACTGAATACCAAATTGGAGTGAGCACACAGAAAGTTGTATAAAAAGTGTGAATGCCGTCATTAGTAAGCCTAATATAACTGTTATTCCAACAAAAGAGTCACCCAAACTGCAAAGCAAAGCCACAATGGAAAGTTTATTAGAAAAAATAATAATAAACAAAGAAAAATATGATGAGGAGATAAAAGATAATAAGAACGAAGGAACAACCTCACCATTTGGCTGCCAGAGGAGGACTTTGTGGAAGTAGAGGACTAGAAAAAATAAATAATCCTCCTTCGATCCAGGCACAGACCCAAACAAAGAAGGAAAACTGATTAAGCCTTTCTCAAGCCGAAGCCCGAATTTGATGATGAGTTCAAGTAATTTGAAGGAATGATATTTGGCACTGGTTATTCTTGTAAGTACATTTGAAAACGATTAGGGAAAAAGTTATTTAGAAGAAGGAGAAATGATACGGAGGAAATTGAGTTTGAAAAATTTAAATTAATGATGTGTTATATGTTGTATTATTAAATTAATTAATATATATAATATTATATATTT